TGGGAGCTCTCGGCGACGCCCAATGCGTGCGCCGGTAAGGGGGAGTGTGCGCGCGCGTGTGTGAGATGTGGATTGTGGCAGGCCTGCTGCTGCTGATGGGAATGGCTCTGTGTGTGGCGCTGCGCTGGCGTGCGGCGCGCGCGTGCTGTGCGCGTGTGCGTGTTGGATCCGCGCGTGCGTCTGCGTGTGCTGCGCGCGCGCCGCCGGCGTGTGCTGTGTGCTGTACTCTGCTGTGCGCCTGTTTGTGAGTCTTTGAGGCGCAGGCCTGGCTGGCAGGGCTGCGCGGTGGGCTGCGGCGCGCTGCGGGTGGTTGTGCGCCTGCCTGGTGGCGTGCGGCGGCCGCGCAACCCGCCCGACCGGGTCGTCGGCGGCCCAGGGCGCGAGCATGCGGTCGGCGCTGCATGTGAGGCTGCTGCGCGGCTGGCGCGTATGTTTCCGTGCGATGAGGGACGCGCGTATGTGTTCACGCTGCGGGCGCGGGCGGGCGCGGGGGGCGGCGTGGTCTCACCGCGGTCCGACGCCGGTTGGTCTTCGGCGTGACGAGGGCGGGCGCGCAGAGAGGCCTTGCCGCCATCGCGTTGCCGCGAAGGAAAAAGAATTATGGACCAGACTTACAGATGTGTCTTCAGTGGCGGGTTTGTGCCTAATAACGGCAGTATTGGAGAAACAGGCGCGGAACCCAGCGACGCGTGCCGGTGAGGCCGATTTTCTTAAACGGACTTAAAAGAGGGACCCCCCACCGTGCCTGCAATCTCTTAAATGACAATTTGAGCCCCAAAACCTCCTCATTTCTTAAAAGGTCTTAAAACAATCCGGCCCTCAGAACCCTAGGGGTACCCTAAGGCCTCCTTAATGCTTAAAGGCAATGGGGTCTAGATTTGGAGCGCTCGCCGAAGAGGAGTACGACAAAATAGCGCCCGTGATTGCCCGCACACTGCCCGCACTCACGGACTCCATTCCCAAAAGAAAGAGAGGGGAGCTCGCAGGAGAGGTGACGAGTGAACTACAGGTAGTGGGGAAGGCAGCCTCGACCGCGTGGAGAAGACAGCAGCACTGTCCGACCTCAAAACATGCACAACAAGCGGGATTTGTGACTCTGTCCTCGATTCTTCAGTCGCTCTGCCGGACGCGCTCGCTTTGTCGCGGGGGTCACCAGTGCAAGCCGTGTGGACGCCCAGAATAGCCTCCCCTGGCTTAGCTAGAGTGAGAGATATTGTGCACGTGGTCAGCCTCTACAATATATACACTGACACTTTACCTCCCAGAGCTCGTCTAGGTCCGCCACGGCCATCCTCAGCCTCCAGAGGGCCCCCGGCCGCGGCGCGGTGCGGCGGCGTCACAAATCCGACGTCAGTTCACAGGGACGCGATCGGGCGATCTGAAGTCCAACTAGGCGTATGGATTGTCCGCCCAGAGCTATCACCTGGACCCCTCAATGGACGCCTGCGGTGCCGCCCCCACGAGGTGTTGTTCACACCTGTCCAACCATTCGTGCAGCAGGAACGCGCTGTGTGTGGCTGGCAGCAAACTCAAATGACGACGGGTTGCAGCCTCGTAGCTCAACGGCAACATTGTGCATGAGGAAGGCTGATAGAAGTAGCACCAGCCACACAACCAACAGCTTCTGGAGAGTATGCGGAGCGCAAGCAGCCGGTGATCAAAGGCGTGTTGCTGTCGGTGGCAGATTGCCAGAGGGACGCCGGCGCCTCGGTGCGTGGCTTCGTCACAATTTTCCACCGCTCAACTTGGAGGCAGTGTGTCTAGTAGCGTGCTACACCTATGACGGCGGACCTCACTGGGGCGCCGACGTGCGACGACCGTCTGGGATCGAAAGACGAAACCGCGTCCCAGGAGCTCGTGCAGACGGCGCGCTCCGGAGCTCGGTGGCGGGAAATTTGAAGGGAACGTGGTGGCTTCCCACCGCCTTTGTATGTGCCCAATAAAGTGCTAACACGACCCTCGGGCAGCAGGGGGTATGTGGCGAGCGCACGGAGGCACAGTTAGGCCGCCGTGATATCGCCCTTCCGGGCACCCCGTTCTTCGGTAGCCGTTTAGGGGTTAACCGTAACGTTTTTGAACACCGTGTTAACGTTAACGCACCAGCCCTGGCGGAAGGTGGCGTCCAGCCAGTCTAACATGCTGCATGGAATGCGCCAGCTGCCACAGCGGCGGGCAACGTACTCACTTGGTCTGTGTCTCGCATGCTCGAGAAAGCACAGCCTGATGCGGATCCTCTCTTCAACAGGCTGTGAACAGGCACACCCGCACCGGCTGGCGGCTCGGCTTTCGATACTCAGCAGCCCGGTCTGGCAGAGAATAGGGCGCCGGCGATCGCAGCCCGGCCGCGGCGGTCGGCTCAGCTCAGGTTGGACAGCTGCCTCAGTGGGGAGGCGCCGGGGATGGCGGCGAGGGCGCGGGCCTTGGCGCGAATGCTCCGCGACGCGGTCGGGAGGCGCGAGACGGAGCTGTTCTCGGATGCGCTCGGCAGCGGCACGTTCTCGATGCCCGCCTCGCCGTCGCCGCCCGCAGCGCGCCGGCGTTGCGGCGTTGCGGCGCCGGCAGCACCGGAGGCGGCGGAGGCTACGGCGGAGGCCTCGAGGGCACGCTCCTGCTCGGTGGTGAGGCAGAGGGCGCGCAGCTTCTCCTCGCTCCGCTCCGGGCGCGCCTCGCGGGCCTCCTCCGGGGGCACCGCCTCGGCAGCGTGCAGCACGTCGGTG